GAGTGGGTTTTGGGTTCTTAAGGTAACCCTACAAGGGTCCAAAGGACCCAATAGTTAGGTACTTAGGTTTAGGGTTGGGGTTTAGGGTTATAGGGGTTTAAGGTTTAAGGGTTTAGGATTTACCTTAAGAACCCAAACCCACTTTTTTTTGGTAGATTCTTATTATAAACCCTCAGATGGGATTTATAGGGACCCTACAAAAAAGTAGGTTTTGGGTTCTTAACCCGAAGGGTCCGAAGGACCCAATAGTTAGGTACTTATAGGTTCAGGGTTTAGGGTTTAGGGTTTAGGGTTGAGTGTTGAGGGTTTAGGTTTCTAACCCTACGGGTCCAAAGAACCCAAAAACCGCCCCAAACCATCATAAATTAAATCAACTGAAAGAACCACCACAACGCCCTCGGCCCTATAGACGTACCAACCATGTCACCGTATAACCCTCTGGTCAGAGCATTTACAATAACATGAACCACCACAAAATCACCGCTAAAAAGGCAGCTGCCAAAACTCCACAACCCTGTAACTCGCAATAGCTTCACAGAAGTCTTGTACACACCCTATAGGTCCTTTATAAGATTTTATAAGTATATAGAGGATCCCGATCCTAAGCCCACGGTCTAAGGCATAATATGCCGGCTGCGCCACCCCGCCTCAACACGGCAGTTGGTGGTGAAGCCCACGCTCGACCCGGTCCCGCTACAATTTGGCTGGGACCGGTACTGCGCCCTCATGCAAGTATAAAATATAGGGGCTGTAACCCCAAACCCTACAAAGTATAAAAACATACGTAGTGGCTGTGAAGGCCCCGTCTTGCTAAACCCTAAACCCTAAACCCGAACCCTAATTTGCAACTGCAAATGAACAAGAACCCCGACGACCTCCTAGACAGGGCGGGGATTGGACGAGGCCCCGGGCCCATGCCTTCCTGGAGACCGCCCTTCCCAACTCAAAACCCAAACCCAAACCTGTTGCCTTGTGAGTGATTTTGAACTGGAGCCGGTGTTGGTTTGGGCATTCGGGCCGCCTCAACCCTAAACCCTAAACCCTAAACCCTAAACCCTAAACCTCCTGCCGTTGCTGCATGTCGCAACGAGCGCTCACATCCAGCTTACGTGCCTTTCCCGGCTGCTGCGCAACATCAAACACCCCCGGTCCTAAATCCTCGGCCCTAAACACAGAAATATAGGGGCCTCAATAATTGGAACAGGGTGTGGGGCTCCCTTATAGTATGTTTATAATAAGGAACCTTGAGGAGGAATATTGGCAATTATTTAGGCTTCTACAATACCCAAAGCCGTAGAGAGCCTGGTAGAACCTCCATCCTCGCAAAAGCCCTTAGCCCGAACGGAAACCTAAACCTCACAGGCTAAAGCCTAAACCTGCAACCCTATAGGCCCATATAAACCCAAAGCCCTATTAAGTGAACAAGCCCTATACCAAGTTTAGGGTTTAGGGTTTCGACTCACACAAGGCAGGCACGGCAAAGTAGGTCCGAGCTTGCTACATGGACATCATACTTGGCAGACTGGCAAAAACGGAATCAGCAAGAAACCAACGGCAACAGTAAGGCTCTCTTCATCAACAACCTTGCCCAAAAATCTAAGGAAGGGTTTACAAGCTCCATGTGCAACCTGAAGAAATCCTAAGAGGCCCATGGCCCATGAGCCAAGAGACTGTGCAAGCTTCCGACACTGTTGTCAACCCTAAACCCTAAACCCCTAACCCCTGAACCCGAAACCCTAAACCCTAAAACCGCCCTTGAGCCAAGAGGCTGTGCCAGCGCCCGGCACTGTTGTCTTTGGAGCTTCGACAGGCGCATCCGGGGCCTGGGATGTATCCCTGGGTTTACCTTAAGAACCCAAAACCTACTTTTTTGTAGGGTCCCTATAAATCCCATATTAGGGTTTATAATAAGAACCTACAAAAAGTGGGTTTTGGGTTCTTCAGGTAAGACTTAGGGACTTAGGGTTTAGGGCTAAGGGTCCCTAAACCCTAAACCCTGAGAAACTCCAATGTAGGGGCCTGAATAATTAGACTAGGGCTTTGGGGTATATATATATATATATATATTGGGTTCGGCGTAGAATGCTTAACATCAAAGCCATGATGTTGTTGCGCTGAGGCCAGTGCATCATCCCCCCCAGAGATATTACAGAAAGGCGGAGGAGGGGAGAAGGGTGGTGAAGACTTGAGTTGTTTAAAGCATGCGGCCGATTCGCTGCACACATCATTCATGAGTGAACTCTGTCCATGATGTTGTTGCGCTGAGGCCAGTGCACCACGCAGCACTTTCTTGCAGGTTGCCATCAGGCTGCTTAATAATCTGAAACGGACTGAAAGGATGCAAAAGCTTGAAATGAGCGAATGCACATCTCTCGAAAAGAAGAGATTGCTCATTCAAGCGGCATCATCCCCTCATCCCACATCCTGGTGAGTACTGGCCAGGACCTTGGCAATTGAAGCACAGAAGGCCTTGGGATACGGCTGAGCCCGTATGGTCCACCACGCGCCTTGTGAGTCTTTGCCTGCAAGAATAATGTGGCGACGACCTGAGGCACTGCAACGCCCGTGTCGAGGGCGACAGCATAGGAGGGTGGCCTCCAGCGCATCAAAAGAACTGCAGAGGAGCCCTGTGCTTTTACGCCAGGTGCACGGTATTGGCAGAAATCAACCTGACATAAACGGGCGCCGGTGGCAACAAGCGACTGGAAGACATCAGTCAACCAGCAGCGCGAACTCCAGGGATTCTCAATAATCCATGGAATGCCATTGAGTTGCAGTCGTTGTGCTAACCGCCCAGTCTGTGCCAACAGTTGGTTCCCTTGGTCTACCTTTGCACTGTCAGCTGGGCCGAGACGTGGACAACCCCAAAGATATACGTCATCATTGCGCAGCGGCGGCGGTCCGCCATCGAGCCGCCTGGCTCTGCTCCAACTGTTGCATGGCATTCCCATCCAAACTAGAACAACTTTGTGCTGCGCAATGAACCGCAGCATGGACCTGAAAACCTGCTCACTCAGAAAGTTGCAATTGGAACCGTAAGTGATGTCGTAGGCTATCGCATTGAAGCCATGCGCAGCGCAAGCCTTTGACAGGTGTGCACTTCCACTGAAAACTTCTACTACCCACTTGTCTGTCGACCCAAGTTGCGATAGAAAAGTTTTGGGACCTCCACGGCAAAGCTGGCGCTGGCTTGTCGTGCAGCCTGTTGAATGGCCCGCGGCAGTTTCTGAAACTCTTGGTTCACTCTTGCATGAGCTTCGTAGCGCTTCACCGACTTGTCGCTCTCCCAGCGGCCTCGAAGTTTGATCTCCTTGAGGGAGCGGTACTGTCGAAGTCGGTCGTGGGAAGGTCCCGCATGCCTCAACTGATAAAGCACCGAGTGGTTGCCGGGAAGCCCGATGGTTTTCAGAGCATCCTGCCACTGATTTCGCAGGCTTGTGTAGTCCAGCTGGAAAAGTGTCGCCCTGCGCGACCCCTGTCGAAGGTCCCTCAGGAGCTTCCCCAGGAAAGGAATTGTCTGGCTGTCCAACATGATGGTCTCGTTGGCGAGGCCAGTTTTTGATGTTTCTTGTCGTTCTTCTGGATGTAGGTTTATGGTGTAATATGGATGCACACTTGACGGTTGAACCAGATCCTCCCCTCGAACGTTCAGTGCCTCCCCAGGCCTCAGATAAGCTGCGAACATCAACATGATCGCTACTGCAGCTTGGATGAGGCGCTTCCTTAGCATCGTCAGAACGATGAGGGCGATCAAATCCCATGGCATGGGGGGGCGAGTGCGCCCTGGATCCAGCTTGCTCCATCCCTGCAAGGCCCTCCGAGACCGAGGAAGGTTCTCCTTGTGGGAATAAGCGGGGTAGGCATCTAGGACCGCGGCCCAAGTTTTTGTGCCCTCCCCAATATCGCATCCTTCTTCGAACATGTGATTGAGATAGCTGCAAAAGGCATTGTCGAAGCTGCTCATGCTTCGAAGGCTCATACGGTTCATCTTGACATAAGCCTGAAACTGATGAACTTTCAGAGCATAGTCCCTGCCGGCCTCCGTGGAAATCGCTGCCTGCTCCAAACGGGTCTGACCGATAAATCGCGGAAGAGAAGGAGTCTCTTGGAGATACTTGAGCCGCTTCTGAGCTCGTTCTGCTCGGGTGTTCCCCTCCATATCGCGTTTCGTCCGCCCCGGAGGAGTCTTCGGCAACACCGTGGCATGACGACTCCCTTTCAGCTCGGTCATTGTGAAATCGGCGTGCATTGCTGGACAAGCCTTGGTATCTTTCAGAAGACCCCTCGCCGACATCCCCAGCAGCATGTCTCCTGCGCAATGATTCCCACCGCCGGGATCCACCGTCGGCGACGTTCCACTCGCTAGGGATCCAACGGCAGATGAGCGAGGCTCCCAGCGCTACTCCGAGACAAGCAGGGCGCCTGCAAACCTTCAAGAGTCCCATCGAGGTGCTTCTACCCTTGTCCGTTGCTAACACCATGCCGAGATTGTCGTTGAGATGAACATGTTTCTTTCCAAAAGATCCCAAGCTTCTAGCTTTGTGCCGTAATGCAGCCACTA